CGCGTTCGCTCCTCCCGTCTCTCCCGCCTTAGCTGAGCAGCGAGGCCGACGCCAACAACAACACCGAGACGGACTTGGGCCTCTATCAAACATGACGCCAGGGCTGTTTTCAAAACCACACTGGCTTTAGATTTACATCAGAATGTTCCGTCCCATCCTCGCCGAAGCAAACAGCAGCAAGAGGTTTTTGGACGAATCAGAGAGAGAAAAAAAATTAAAAAAAGTATGAGCTCAGACTAATACATTCCAAGTCTTGCACAAGTAAATAAATGCCCCCTTGTCGGGGCTTTTGTATGAGAAATCCAACCCCGTTTATTGGGCCTTTGGCTTGGGGAAATTAGGTAATGCAAGCCCCCAAAAAGGTCACTCAAATTCATGAATAAAAGGGAGCCGCTCGCTATAAATAAGCAGGAGGGAAGAAAAAGTACGAGGATGGTGGTCTATCTGGTTTGTGCGCGCTAGCACGTGGCTGCGGACCGAGGGCGAGGAGTGCCGAGCTGGCGCCGATCCAAGCCGAATTACGCAAAAATGTGCATTTCTATCCCCTCGGGTGTCTCCTGTGGTTGTTCCCCTGAGACAGACAGACACAAACAGGCTGAATGGGGAAACAAGAGAATGAAGACACTGAGTCAACCAGGGCGTGTGGTGCTTTAAGAGGGCCCGTCGTCGCTCCACCAAACAAGTCGAGTCTGAACCCTGAATGAAACGACAGGCTTCGGGGGATATTTCAATCATGTGAAGTAATGGATATGCATGAACTCCCAAAACAATAGGCTACTGTACGCATGAGAATAAATCCCCCTAAAGATGTCTGGCCGTGGCACACTTGCTTCGGTGCTTTGCCTACGACGTTTGTACAGCTCCCCCTTGGCTTGTACCCCCCCCCACGCCTCACACACACACACACACACACACACACACATGCACACACACAAGCACTGATTCACTTTCCAACCGCCGCAGAGCTCAAACCACACCTCCTTGTTGGTCAATGCTAATAAATACAAGACACCACGGTTGCCGCTCAAAGAAAGGCTCGTGACTATCGTTACGACCAGCAGCAGAGACGCTTGGCTTTTGGCCTGAAAGACTCTATCGTTCCTTTTTTTTTTCTTTTTTTGGCAAGGGATGGGGGGGGGTGATGCTAAAATGCGAATCCGCCGTCCCCCGGGGGCACACGAAAGGCCAGAGCAGTGTTGAAATAGGTATTCATGCTTTTATCATCCCAGCGTGAACAGCGCTGCTCTTTCAGCTATGGGTTCGTCGGCGTCTCCGGCGGAGAGGGGAGGAACACTCACCAAAGCAACGCTGTCGTTTTTCCCTTTCTCGCCTCTCACCTGCAGGGTGATCCAGCGGGTTTATTGCCAGTTGTGTGTTACTTGTGGGCAACCTTGCAATGTTTCAGTAAGCCCGGGCTGCGGCGGAGGTTGGAAAATGTGGGTTTCATTCGCGGTCACGCGGTCTGTGCATGTGGAGCTGAAAGGATGTAGTCAAGCTGACAGAAAACTGTGATATTCTGATGAACTGATTGAATCGTTTCAGACACGTTTTGTAGTAGCAGATTCTTACTTCTTTCTCACTGTAAATGGAATAACTCTTCTAGATTCTGGCTTTGGTTACACAAAACAAGCTTTCTGAATATGTCACCCTTGAGCTTTTTTAACAGTCGATATGAATATCATCCATTGAGAAAGCCTGTCAGCATGACAAATGTTTTGTTTTTGTTGTAGCCCCAGTAAACTTACAGCACGGTGCTCTACTCACGTGCATGTATGGTGTTGTTTGACTTAAAAAGATTTCCTTGTGTGATTAAGGGGGTGACACGTTTGCAAGGAAACCTGAGCAAAGACGCTTTAGATCTGCATGAAATGAACTGCAGAGTGAAATGACTGGATTCATTAACCACGATCTTTCTCTGCGAAAGAGGGAGCTACATCTCTTCCGCACCTCTGAAGACTACACCAAGTGAGTTGTTCGATATAGAAATGTGTGTGTACAGAGCTTAGCTCTTCAAGGGGTCACGTGAATGAAAGTTATATGCCCCATTAAACACGATTATAAAAGTGTATTAGGATTGTCAGATGAATTAGAAACTGCCCATTTGCAAACATACGAATCCAGTATCAGCACGGGGAGTGAGAGCGTGTCGGGACAAGATTTTGTTTGTTTGTTAATAATACGATTCCAGGCTGCAGAATTATTACTATTATTTAGAAAAGCTAAAAAAAAAATACAAAAATCCATAACTTACAACTTTATTGAGGAGTGAAGTCGTAGAAGCTACAACTTTGAATTGAGGACTGGAGTAACATGAAAGCACAGCCTCTCTGCACGCCGATGGAGCGACCATATGTACAACAAGAGACGTCATATACCATTAAGACAAGCGTGTTGAGGGCCCCTCCTGTGTAAAGCACGACCATTCGAGTACTAGGAGGGGCTGGGTCTGGGGGGTGGGGGCACGGGGCAGTGGTTCAGGTCTGCGATGAGCCTCCGACGTTACTGTGAACGGCGGCCTGCGTGCTTGCAGGAGACCCCTTATGGCCTTATTTTTCTGTTACCTCTCTTCACCCGCACCTTTCCTGTCGCACACGCCCCCCTCTCCATCCCAACCCCCCCTCCCCCACCGCAGAAAACAGCCAACCGCATCGCAAATCTGGGATTATTGACAGGTGCAGCACCAGCTGACCCGCCTGCCCCTCTAGCCTGCCCCTCCTTCCTTCCGGCCTGATCTCCTCTCAACTTGAAATCAGTTAGTCTGCTGGAGCCAAATGAACATGCAGCGCCAACACCCCCCCTCCCAATCAGCACCTCCCTTTCTATAACTACACACCCTCTGACGGGCCCAGAAACATTGTTGTCAACACTGAGTGTTCTGTGGGGGATTTTAGCTCAAGAGAGCAAAAAAAGAAAACATAACAAAATGGGGTTGTGTCGAGGCTAATGTGCAGGGCAATTCTTTTAATCGGGTTTACGTCACAGCGACAAGGCGTAAACGAGTTAAAACACAAGCTACGCCAGTGTAGGGTTGATAGTATAGGGTGGTGTTTATGACTCTGAACAACAAGGGCCAGGCTGGCTTGCTGTACGAGGACGCTCCCTGACCCCATTCTCCAATATCGAATTCAGGCCAGTTTGAAATGTAAAAAAGACAATTTCATAAAAAGCCTGGCTGACACACTTATCGGCGATGTTTTCAATCTAGTAGCAATTAACTGAAATCGTACACTAGCTCTAATGGACTTTTAATTGGGAAATTTAACCCTAAGAGATTAAAAAAAATAATATCTTTAAATGTGAAATTTAAGAAAAAGTTTCCAAGAATTGGTGTTTAAGAAGCGGTTATATAATGGTTAGCGGTCATGCAGGGGGGAGGATAATGAGGAAAACGCCATTTTGATCATAAACAGGGATGGGAATAAGTGATACAATGAGAGAGAAGAGAGGTGGATAGGGTAAAGAACATGGCTGTGGTGTTTATTGGTAAAGTGCCCCGAGATGCATCCATGCTAATGGATACCCAGGTTAGGATGAAGAGGAGGTAGGAGGATGGAGGAGGATTTATTAGCATATCTCTTACAGAGTTTAGATGCAGATGCTGTGTAAGTAGTAAATACTATTTTCCAGCGCTCGTCTTTAAAGGGGCTGAGTCATAAAGTACACGCTAGTTCGCTTGACATGTGGCGCCCTAAGCTTAAATTCCCACAGCCAGAAAGCGAAAGTCTCTCACGGCGTCAGACAAATTGCGTCAACATCCAACAAAATCAAAAAACATTAAACATTAAAAACACTGCGACAAGGATGCCTCGGGTCAAAAGCAGGCAAGTCGGTTTTCAGTCAGATATGTAGTCACGTCATTATCGGACAGCTAGTTGGTGTGCAACGTCCAGTTCGTAAACGTGCTGCTGCTGTGGTGGACTTTACGAAACAAATTGGCAGGACAAAAAGAGAGAGAGGGAGAGAA